GGGTGATTGCTGTGGGTGATTGCTGTGGGTGATTGCTCGCTGTGGGTGATTGCTGTGGGTGATTGCTCGCTGTGGGTGATTGCTTGTCTCCGACTGTGGGTGTTGATCGCTGCCTTCTTCCTTCTCCAGGTACTCCTTTTTCTTCTTCTTCCCAGTCTCCATTGATCGTTGGTCCTGTGCAGTATGTAATGATATTAATTTATTTACAAAGCCAAATGTATATAAATTTTTTTGTATAAAAATTTCTGAATTTTGATTAATTTTAATTTTGTGCAACAGTGGCATCACCTGCATCCAATTTTCATATAGAAATGACTAAAAAACTTGCTAATGATCCCACATGGGAACATTGTGACAAAGTAGAAGGATCAAGGTTGAAATTGAAATGCATTCATTGTGCAAATGTCTATTGGGGAGGCATTTCAAGAATGAAAAATCATTTGGCAAGTAATCGCAAAGATGTAGCAGCGTGTAAGCATTGCCCTGAGGAAGTAACTGAATTTTTTAAGCAATTATTGGATGATAGGGCAATTAGCAAAGATATGAGTCTTGTGGATTCGAAAAGTAGTGGCAGTGTGGGTAGTACTACTGCTGATAAAATACAGCCAACCACCACAATTACTTTGAATACTATGTTGAAGAAAAAGGGTAGGGAAGATGTATGCTTGGATATTTGTAGATGTTTTTATGCTAATGCCCTTCCTTTTAATTTGGTAAAGGATCCATATTTTGTAAGAATGTTAGAATCTGTTGCATCGTTTGGTAAGGGATTGAAACCTCCATCGTATCATGAGGTGAGATGTTCTTTTTTGAAAAAAGAAACAAATTTGATTAATGGTGGGTTGATGGAAAATTATAAAGCAGAGTGGAGAAGGACGGGTTGTACTCTTATGTCTGATGGATGGACTGATGGGAAACATCGCTCTATCACTAATTTTTTAGTGAATAGTCCTAGAGGAAGTGTGTTTCTTAAAAGTATTGATACTTCAGGTATTTGTAAGAATGCGGATAATCTTTTTGAGCTTTTAGATTCAATGGTAGAAGAGATTGGTGAGGATAATGTTGTTCAGGTTGTAACTGATAGTGCATCGGCTTATGTAAAAGCTGGGGAGTTGTTAATGGAAAAGAGGAAAAAGTTGTTTTGGTCTCCTTGCGGTGCACATTGTCTAGATCTCATTTTGACGGATATTGGGGACCTTCCTCTGCACAAGGATATAATGTCAAAGGCAAGGAAAATCACAGTTTACATTTATAGACATTCTTGGGTGTTAAATCTTATGAGAAAGTATACAAAGAAAAGGGATTTGGTGAGAGCTTGTGTGACCAGATTTGCCACCTCATATTTAACTTTAAGGAGTTTATTTGAAAATAAAATTGGGCTTAGAGCAATGTTTGCTTCTGAGGAATGGCAGAGAAGTCAATATTGTAAGAAGGGAGATGGTGTAAAAGTGATGGATATTATACTAGCTGACCAAAATTTTTGGGGATCAATCAAGTATTGCTTGAAGTGTGTGTTGCCATTGGTGAAGGTGTTGAGGCTTGTAGATGGGGATCTAAAGCCTGCCATGGGGTATATTTATGAGGCAATGGACAAGGCAAAGGAACAAATCCAAAAGAATTTTCGTAATGTGAAGAAGCACTATGAGCCCATATGGACTATTGTTGACACTAGATGGAACATGCAATTACACAGACCTCTTCATGCAGCTGCCTATTATCTCAATCCCGCGTAAGACTTAATTTTCTCAATTTTTATATCATTTTATATCTATATATTGTATGCTAATCAATGATCATTGTAAATCAAAATAATTATTTCAGGTTTCATTACACCGGTAGTGCGGACTATGAGATAAAGATGGGACTATATCAGACTATTCAGAGAATGTGCCCAAGTCCTATTATGAGAGAAAAAGTTGATAAACAATTAGATATCTTTCATAATGCTGATTTGATGTTTGGAATGGACATGGCAATCCAAATGAGGAAGAAGAAACAACCTGGTTAGTGGTAACTTAACTTAAGTTGGTTATTTGAATGCAACTGCTTAAGTTAGTTAATAGAGTATTCTATTGTAATTTTTTATAGCCTTGTGGTGGGAATCATTTGGAGGATGTTGTCCAGAGTTGCAACAACTTGCTATCCGCGTCCTTAGCTTGACTTGTAGTGCCACTGGATGTGAGAGGAATTGGAGTACATTTGACCAGGTGCACTCTAAGAGGAGAAATCGATTAGAGCAACAAAGATTAAGTGCACTTGTGTTTGTGAAGTACAATCTTCGATTGGAGGCAAGACACCAAAAGAGAATACTAGAGGGTGATTCCTATGATCCTATTTCTCTCTCAGATATGGAATCTGATGATGAGTGGATCACTGAAAAAGAAGATGCACTCCTTCCTGAGGACACTACTTGGATGAATGTTGGTGAATGTTTTGAGGTTCAAGAAGGGACTAGCAAAAAGAGAAAGAGAGGTAATTAAAATGTAGTGGTTGTTTTTTCTTCTTCTCCATTACTTTGAATTTTATTTTTTTTATATTTTGTATTGGTTGCTTTGTAGGGCCTAGAAATCTTACTTTAAGCAAGAAAAAAGGAAAGCAAATAGTTCAACTTGAAGATGAGGATGAGGATGAGGATGAGGATGAGGATGAACAAATACAAGAAGTTGAAGATGATAAAGGAAGTGAAGACTTGTTGGCATCCGATCACAATGATGATGATGATGATGCATTTTCAATTGAAATTGAAGATTGAGTTCAAAATGGATGTTAGAAATTTGGATTAGAAGTCTCTTTGGTGTTTAAAGTTTGAATTAGTGAACTATGGTTGTGAACTTTGCATTATAATAGTAGTGGATTATGTTGATAACTTGAATAGTTGGTGGAGTATTAATGAAATGCTATATTTTTTATGAGTGTATGACTTTTTTTCAAAGGTATATATATTTTTTTATTATTTATTTAAAATTGCATTGTATCTTACGATACACGATACGATACACGATACGATACAATATTTGTATCTTACGATACGCCTTCCGATACACGATTTGATAACTATGTTAAATATAATTATTTATACTTATAACAAAAAAAAAATTAAAAGGCAAAAGGCCTGCATAGCAGTGGGTATTAATTGTAATTACAGTGGAGTATTAAATATAATTACAATGGGGTTTAAATCTAATTATTATATTTATAAGCAAATATATATATATATATAAAGGCAGAAGACCTGCACAGTTCAACATCGAACGAACGAACAGAGAGAAAAATACAGAGGCAAGAAGCGTAGGCGATCGCGATGGGCGATGTCGATGCTAGAGAAAGAGAGAGAAGAAGAAGAGAAGAACATACCAGTGGACCAGTGGTGGCTCGTGGTCGCAGCGATGAAGACAGAACAACTCTCAAGCCCTAGATTTGTGTGGAAAAGGGTTGGATCTACTCAAATCTGGAGTCAAGAGGCAAGTTACAGTAATTTCTCCAATTTTTGGCCTATAGTTCTCTCTACCTCTTTGATTTCGTTGGTGTCTTTCTCTTTCCCTTCTCTCTGTTTCTCTTTCATTTCGTTGGTGCCTTTCTCTTTCTCTTCTCTCTGTTTTTTTTTTTTTTGCTTGAAAGACCTAGACTTGGACATAAATCAGACATGTGATTTCTGAGATCTCTAATTTTTCCCCTTTATTTTTTTGGCTTGGAACTGTGAATTCTGACTTTGTGGAATCTGCTTTATGAGCCTCTCCCTTTTTTCTTTTGACCTGGAGTGAACGAATCTATCCACTATTTCGTCGAATGGTACTATTTCCACCAAAACAGTCCGAAACTGTGCCGTTTCGACCGAAACACTAGAATTTGGGAATTCAACTACTGTTTCGTGTCAGAGTGTTGAAATTCCGAAACGTTTCGGATGTTTCGACACGACATTTAGATCCTTGTAGTGGATTTTTTGAAAACAACCGCAAAATTTACTTAGAATACTTAAAAGATCAATAGAGACGCCATTTCAAATCGTGTCATACGATAACTAAGCTAGGAAATTAAATCTAATTAAACAGCACCCACTGTGGGTTAGTTTGATTCAAACTAGTATGTGCATGATATGTACAATGTTGTTAGCGGGGGAACCAACTAAAACTCCATCAATAAAAATTCTGAGGAATTTTTTAAGGAACTTTGTTACGAGGTGGTGAAACTTAAAGAAGCACATATTCAAAAGTTAAAAATCACAAGAAACTACATGACAGGTCACCTGTTAAACATAAGCCTAGTTTCCTACAACTTTCCAAGAACAATCCTTAGAGTAGGTTCTAAGGCATTTACATGGGTAAACCTAGGAACCGGAATTGATTATTTAAGTATCTTGCACAGTTCCCACGGACTCAACTAGATTATAGATAATGTCACCCTCTTTTACTGTATATGATTTGCTAGCCTCCAGTAAAGCAAGCTAAAATTATGTGCACTGAAGACTTATGCTCTATCCTGTTAAAAATGAAATACCAATATGAAAACATAATGCGGATCACTTAGGGCTCGTTTGGTAACGTTTACAGTTTTTGATTTTCTAAAAAACGAAAAACGTTTTTTTCTCGTTTTTGAAAATCGCCCCTCGTTTACAAAACGATGACAGAAAAAAAAATAAAAACGGTTATCAAACGAATTTTTTTTTCTTGTTTTCTTTAAATATCAAAATAAAAACAAAAAATGAAAAGCATAAACGTTACCAAACGGGACCTTAGTTAAAATTAATGTTAAATGTGAAGCAGTACTGAAACATTGGTAAAAATCAAATTGCCCAAAATTGACAGTCTCAAAGACAAGGTAACTGCAACTTAGTAGAAATCATAGCAATATATTAAAATGGAAAAAAAAAATTCATTTGCCAATTTTAACTATAAATAGATCGAATCACACAGCACACAGATGAAATACCAAAGATATGACATAACATGAGACATGATCTAACTAATCGTACTTTGACATAGAAAATATACTCTCAAAGAAGATCAAAGCGGAAAACAAGCACATAAAGTTGATAACTTTTTACCAACTGTAATTGGATCCGTTGATGCAGAAACAGGTTGCCCCTCAACTCCGTCCTCTCTTACAGGAGTGTAAATTGCAACAAGCCTGTAGCCAACGTCATCAACATTCGCTTCATACATCCTTCCAGTCTCCCCTGCAACATCACATCACTTGCAATCAACCCTTGAAATGTAAATATTGAAGCTGGATCTTGCAATGAAATTTCAAAAACTTTAGCCTAACTATGATGTGACAGCTGATGATGGGGTTCAATGACAAACTAGCATTACAATTTTTTGGTTTATGAATATGGTATTTGTATCCCACATCGAAATATTAGAGCCACTAGACGTTGATGGCCTCTCCATCCATTCCCAATTGGTCTTTAGTTGGATGATCTAAGTTGGTATCAGAACACGCCGAATCGTGGATTGAAGCCAGGCTTTCAAGGGTATATTTGCTACTTCCAAACACTGGTCTATTAAATATTCCTCGTTACTAGTAAAAAGCAATTTCTAATTGAACCTCTGCTTCCAACATTCCTTACCTAATAGCATGCAAATCAAATATTAAATTATTAGGCAATAATTGGTCCAACTATTGACTAAGTGACCAAGTGAGATAAGCTAAAATGGACTGATATAGATCCAAATTTTGATTATGATTCTGCATTGCCTTTCCTCTTTAACAACACTCAACTAATCGTATGATAAGTGAAAGAATGATTGCGAGACAGAGTTAGTTAACAAAAAGAAATAATGAATATCGAAGACAAAGTCTCCACATACATTACACAATTTATTCATGTCTAAAACATAATCTCAATAATTCAGCATACCACCAATAGAGATGAGGTCAGGACTTCCAACCATTGACCTAAGCCACTGGATTCTACTTTTGCCCTCCTTTCCTCCACTATAATTGCCACGAACAGCATATAAGTTGGTGTGGAAACCTCTACCCTCAATCTCTAGCTTATCTATTCTAGGGAGCCCTGATGAGGAAAAAAAACATATCTTCTACATGAAAAAATAATTACAGCAACAAACAAAAACTAGCCAAATTAATACTTCTTGATAAAAGAAATAATGATTTCAATAACCACTAAAACAGCGAGATAGAAGGCAACCTTCTTTAGTTGAGAAGAAAAAATTTAGACTAGATAAGAAAAGTAAAATATGTTCATCACTTGTATTAGTTCCACCATGGTTGTGCCTTTTATGTCTTAAGCAACTTTAGAAAGTCGTACTGTGGATCCATCCAAAAATCCTTGACTGCAGAGGATTGCAACTTCATTTATATATCAGAAAACTAAACTATTTAAAGCAATACACTAATATTGCAGATGCAAAAAATTGATCCAAGGAGGCAACCATTTATTTCAAAATATGTTATGATTTAACCAACAACTAGGTTAAGCTAATCATTATTTTTCACTTTTAACACTGCATCAGGGAAATTGAGGTTTAAAAACGATATACACTGCAATTAAGGAAACTGGCATTATCATAGCAGGCAATATAATATAGGGCTTGGATGCAATGTGAAAACTAGAATAGAGTCGGTAATGAACATGGGCAAGCCACAATTTTTGGCAGAAATCAACAGTTAGAGAAAGATAAGATAACTAATTGAGGGGCCACGTCGAGAACATCAAGGCTGTGGGGATATGGGGTTCCACCAAAGGTAATGGACAAATTCCAATTGGCTGGCCTAAACTGAACCAACATGAGCTGCAGCCGGAACAGCCACTATAAGAAAAAGAAAGTTTATCAAGTTGCATCCACTTTGCTTTCTAAAATTAAAATGAAGTGGACATTTAATTCTCAAACTCTCTGTAACCAATCTATGTACTAACCTTGGACTTCAAGGAAATTAGACCCTCTTTTCTGTACCTCTTCTTCTCTATTGGATATACAGACTCACATTAATAACCTAATCCTAATGTAACGGTATTTCAACAACTAAATTTGCCATTCATGTAAAAAAAAATATATATAGGCAGAGATATGGTTAAAACTTCAAATCAGTGAGTAGCAATGGAGTTCTTTGTTAGTGAAGACATTGAAAACCTGGCAAGACAGAGGCGGTTTCAACATATGCTGGCTCACTGGACCTTCCAAACACATCAGTCATGATGCATTCACACCTAAGACAGTGACCAATGTCCTCAAACCGTATCTTATACGAGCAAGAACGCTGGGATGGTAATGGCTCAAAAGACTCGTTATTTCCTGTTTCAAACGAACAAAACCTGCACCATTCATCAGCTATTGCATCAGAGGCAGACTCTACTCATTAGAAATATATGTTTATATATACTATTAGGGCTGCATAACAAGGGCAGAATTTGGCTCAAATATGAAGCCAAAAATAAGTTTTCATTGTAGGTTAAATTTGGACATCTTCAGAGAGAAGAAATTGAGTCGATCATGAAAGTCAGATTCACACATTCATGTTACTCTGGAGAATTGTACATGTAACTTTTTAATCTCCAACATCAGTTGCCATAACAAGCATTTCAAATAAAAGTGCTAAGAAGCTAGGAAGTAGAGCTATACCACTGATATCTGACATCTTTCTTGTACTTTCCCCAAACATGCTGTTGACTTTCACTGTTTGGAAGAACTTCAACAGCAGTAATTACCGCTCCTTCAACTGCCTTCCCAGTAAGAGCTAGCATCTCAATTCTTGGTATCTCTGAAGTGCAATGTAATTCTCAGATTCAAATTGAAAACTGAAGATTTTTCAGGTATTATGTAGGAAGGTTGAACATGCACTGATGGCACAGAATAGAAATAGTTCCAATTACGTTTTGCTGATAAAAGTCTATCAATAAATGCAAATGAAATCAATCTCAACATCGAAAAGCATATTTGCGTATCAGAAGTTTAAAAAAAGAAGGTAGAAGCATCAGCCAGGTTAATTAAAACAGCTAGAAAAATCTTAACTTTGATAGTAAATAACAGTACACAAGCATCAGCAATCCGACATTATAGACAAAAGGGCAATCGTGATTCTTTGAAAAAAAAATTGGGAAGTCTTTAGGCAAGATCCACATCCCATAGTAAGAGCATCTTTTTTAAAATAGAGAGCATCTTTAGTACAAAGTTACAATAGAGAGTGAATTTTTACACACCACTCTAATAGGACTAGGACTCTCTATTCCTATCATTTTATTATTATGTTTTGTCTTTTTTGGCAATAAATTTGACTTCCCTCCTATTTTTTCACCATTATTTTAAATGAAATACGTTTATCCTAAATGTCTCGGATGAAAAGATAAATATATCATTTTTCTGTTCCAAAAAAAGTATAGTAGAGAGTGAGTTTGACTCTCCAAATGTAGAGAGTCAAATTGGACTATTTATTTGAGAGAGTTTAAATAAAGAGTCCATTAGAGAATAAATTTTAAGGATTGACTCTCTATAATAGAGAATTGAGTGGGAATAGAGAGCTTATTGGAGATGCTCTAAGGCAACTTAAACATACAAGTAAAAAGCTTCCAATATGGAAACAGAATTTTATAAGCACATATGAGACAAAACAATGTTGCAGTAACAGGCACCATTTTACCTTGTCTTCTACTGTCAGAGCTTCAGAGTTATAGTGAATGCACAAGATAATTTTGACATGGCAACATAGTAATAGTAGAAAGCACAGAAAAGCTCAAATATAGTGAATCACTGAATCTTATGTTTGACATGGAGAAATAGGAAAAACATTTCAACTTAGCTAGATTTATTGGTTTGATGAAAAAAAAACCTTTCATTACCCATATCTAATAAATGAAAATGGCTGGCTGAATAAGTTTAAAATTTGTGCTGTAACAACATAATTGAAAACACTGAAATGAGAATATTCACTTCTATTGGTTTGTAAACAGAATATGTACAGCATCCAAAGAATTTCACAAATAAAGCATAAAAAAACCCAACACTCGCATTCTTTTGCATAAAACAGTATTATCCATCCACAGCAATATTGAGTAATCAATAATATAACAAGGAAAAAATAGTACCAACAAGAACTTGAATGAGCAAGAGTATAGAGCAAAAAAACTCAAAAAAAAAAAAACTTTTAAAAAAGGAGCAGAGGTGTGACCTTATAAGATTATAAATATAAGCTGTTACACTTCGATCTGATTTTAGGTATATCAAACTCTAACAAATTTTTAATGAGTGTAAAGATACATACCCGCAATGCAGAAGTTTAAAATTATTCAGAGGCTATGCAAATCTACAACCTATATGGATAAAATTTGTATCAAGCTGTTGCATAGGAATAGTAGTACCTGGGAGAATCACATCTGTGTGCTCAGATAATCTAAGTTCTCCAACAAGTGAGTCGGCACGAACTGGTGTATATCTACAAAAAGCATACAACAAATTTTATGTAAACTACAGCATGTTTTAAAACAAAAAAAATATATATATGTAAACATCCTCAGACAGAAACTATATGTTACTAGCCATTTAAAAAACAGACGATACGTGTATATATACTAATTGCAATTAATGCCCTTAAACAGAAGCCTTTTTAAGCTTCTGGAATGCAATAGAAAAAAATTCTTGCACAGAAAAATAATGTTGTTACCATCTATCAATGCCAAGACTAAATCATGATTTGGCCCATATTGGAGGAGGGTCATAAAATTGACATAAGCAACTGCATCAGGACATGTTAACCTAGACGGACTTAAAATCATGACAATTTTTATATGTTGGTTTCAGATCACAAGCAGATTTCATCATAATCACTCTCAAATCATGACAATTTTTTCGTCAATGATGGTCTGTTAAAGAGGGTCTCCACCAAGTCACAAACAAGATGCCAACCAAACCCTCTCAAATTACAATTCTTTTGAGCAGCGAGTGCCTGGTATTCACCAACTATCATTTTCCTGACAGCAGAGTTAGTTGCTTGAGTTGGCTAAAAGTTGTTGGTATTTGGTGGGTAGTGGAGGGTTAAAGTTCATTCACTTTTGAGGATATAATATGCAGATAAATATAAGAATGACTTCCATCAAAGCTAGAACAAATTCTTGACCATTCGTTTATTTAAATTAAGTATTGCATATGCCTTCGACATTACAGACACGAGTTTCAAATCTATGGTTATCCGTTATTTAAACCCCAAAACAAACATGTGGTTTTCTACAAATATCTGCATTGACATCGCATTCTGAATTTCAAAGGTTTTTTGAGAATTCCAAAAATCAAATGTATGATTATATGGGCACCTCACAAAATACTGAAAGGCACTCCATCTATCTTTCTTCAAATTGTAAAGTGACAATACTTTTCATAATGCTGATGGTTAATTTTTGAAAGATAAGATGCTGATACAATCAATGAGCTGGTGAAAGGGTAATTGGTAGTTTAGAAAAAAAAAAGGAGAATAGAGTTCATAGTATTTTGTTAAGTGTAATTATCATTACTCTTAGAGTATTACTTTCCTATTATGTTACTTTACAATTACTCTACATTCCTATGGCTTTCCTAATATGTTCTACTTTCCTAATATTATAGTTCTCTTCAATATCAATCAATTACAAACGGGTGATAGGGTGTTGGCAACCCACACCCTACACACTATCGTTTCATAATCATTTCATAGTCACTTTTGATTCTTCTCTTTCTTTTCATAAAACCTAAAATTCAATTATTCAAATTGCAAATTGGTACCGAAGGATATCCCTAGGCGCACTCCACTCACCTAGTGGTTAGGCAAACCCAGCACACATAAAAGTTGTAGTCGTGTGCGTATTGGCCAGTTATTGTTGTAGCGAGAATCATTCTAAATTGCAATTTTCCTACGTCAGCGTCTTCATCCGTTGTTCATCAGTTGCTGCCATTATTTTCAGTTAATGTGGGGTGCCTAAATCCGTATTCGTGTCTTCGTGTCTTCGGTGTCTAATTATCGGTGCAGATTTTAGTGTTTTCATTACGACCTAGTATTGGTTCAATGATATTCGGCCCTATTTAGTTCTCGGTGCAGATTTTAGTGTTTTCATTACGACCTAGTATTGGTTCAATGATATTTGGCCCAATTTAGTTCTCATTTAATGGTTTTCAAAACAGTTCAATTTTGATGTAGTGTTTTCAACTCAGTTTAGTGTCGGTTTTGTGGTTTTTAGGCCAATTTGGGGCTGCTTTAGTGGTTATATCCCGGTCCAATGCCAATTTTGGAGTTTTTAGCGCCGATTCAAACCCGATGTGCAGGTTGATACCTTGCCTATGGTTCTTTGAGGTGTTGCTGGATGTATTGTGGTTCTTTGTGGTGTTGCTAGTTGCATTCGTTTGTACTCACATTGTTGGTAATGGTGCTGGTGTTGTTGTGTTTGTCCTTTGTTGTCACCATCTTTTTCTTTCTCTAGATCATTTTGGTAATCGTTTGTTACTGCTATTTTGGTGTGGTCGTTGGTTGTTTCTTTGTAAAACCAAAAGAATGTTTTAAACTTCATCTGAAGTAATTACCTACGTTAGGTTTGTTACATGGGGGAAGTACCGTGGTAGTATGTTGATTACAAAAGTCCCCAAATTGTCTAAACCAATCACCCAAAGCTTGGTTTTACCATCCTTATTGTCTACGTGGAGATATTACTGTCCAGTCAGTGATTTTCTCACCAAGCCATCGGCGCAGTCCACCTTTAGTAACCTTTGTTAATGGACATTTTTTTATCTCTATGCTCAAGGGGGTAGTGTTAGAATATTATTTTCCATTATTCTATTTTCATATTATGTTACTTTCCTATTATTCTAATTTCCTATTAATGTTTCGTAACCAACAAAAAGAGGGAGGCAAGAGCAATTTCAGCAAGAAGCTCACCATCGGGACGCTAGGAGCATCATCTTTTATTTACTATCTTCTTTTCTTTCTTTTCATAAACTCTAAAATTCAATTATTTAAGTTTCAACTATTACTCTGTTGCAGTAAAATTCCATTAACTTATAAAAGAATAACATATTTTCTCTAGCAATAATGTTCATTCTGTAGTGTTTTTTTTAGTCAATTGTAACATTTACTTAATTTTTTAATCATCATATTCAAACAAGGACAACCAAGCTAAAATGAGAGAAGAGACATTTACCCAAACAACAAACGACAATTATAATCTGTATCTGTAACTATGTAAGTTTTAGCACTGGCTCCATTGATGAGAATGATTGTTCCCTCGTCCGTTTCTCTATACCAGCTAAACAAGCTTGATCCTTCATGTCCACCAAAATATTGTCCTTCCCCAGAATAAGCAGATGAGGACACTTGCTTCACACGAACATTAGAAACTACTGGAAGAGCTGCAACATTATTTTACTTCGACATGTTAAGAGCAAAACGGATACAAAATCAAAACTAAAAAATTTGGATGCTGTTGAAGCCAATGGAAAAGGACCAATTATAATACTCTATTTGCACAACATAAAAAAGATTAACCATTACAAAGGCTCCATATAAGTGGTACTATTACAATAAGAATGTCTATAACCACACGACCTCTTGAAATTTGTAATAAAAGACCAAATACAATGCGATCCAGATGAATTAATTATAAAAGACTCCATGGAACACCAAATCAGAACCATATTAGTGTGAATGGTGGGTCCAAGAGCTAATAGCTGCTAAGACCAATACGAACCATCCGATAGGATGAGTGGACAGATAAATTTAACTGGCACCTATTGAAGAAAGGAAATGGCACTCTACCTGGTGTGACTGGAGCGTCGCAAATTGATACCAATGGCTTTCCACAATTGCCATCTGAACGAGTTGGCAGCCAATATAAAGCCAAATAGGACCCCACGTCTTCAAGTGAAGGGGTGTATGTTCTGCCAGAGAAGTAATTGTTAACTGAAGTTTATTTGAAAGATAGAGAGATCAACTTGGAATCCATCATACAATATATTGTATGATGGATATAATCTACATATTGCATAACTTACAAAGTGTTGCTACATATAAAAACATCCTCAGCAGAATTCGATATGTCCATCAGAGCAGATTCATGGAGCTTAATTTTCGTCCTGTACCAAATATATTGTCCAACACCTTCTTGTCCTCCGAAGTATGTCTTTTGAGGGACAACTTCCTTGTCCTCACAGCAATCAGGAATTTGCAGCCCCACACCCATAGGGCCCGCTGTTGCATGTAAAGTTGTAGAAATTATGTGCCAGTAGATAGAAAAGTTTAGAAAGTGAGATTACTGTGACACAATTCACAATGATAAAGGCCTGAATTAAGTGTGAATGACATTCACTATTCCAAACGAGGAATGAATAATATACAGCCTGGCAACAATTATGATCTATACACAGTATACTTAACCATGAAGCGTTTGGGTGCACCACAGCAGCAGCAATTTTACTGCTTAATGCTAACAGATATCCAAAGTACTTTGTTGTGTCTAGGTCATGTTCAAAGAGTTTTTCGTTACTTGGAGTTCATTAACAGATTTACACATAAGCTCAGATAGGTTTGAAGTCTTTTATATTTCATATCTAAAGCCTTCATTAGTAGCAGCACAGCATCCAAAAATATATAACAGTTTGAGGGGATAAGTTAATAAATAGCCTAACAAAAAGGCTCATGCAATACAAAGATGGACTCAGAGTTCAGGTGAATAAAAATATTTACTAGTAGCAGCATAAATTTTATCTGCTTTCTCACTTTTCCGGTGGGTAAGAGAGAGTATTACAAAAAGCCCTGGAGAATTTGTTGTTGAACATGCCAGAAGGTATACTGATATCCAACCTACAACTGTTCAACAAGGTTAGGCCAATTACTATACCACTTCTCATAGACCAAAAAGGTGTGGATGACATCACACCATTTTTTCCCTTAACTGAAGATATTTGTTAGTTTAAAATAGGTTCTTTCATTACAGCAACCAATTCCTTTCTTCTTAAGTATTCCAGCAAGCTTTCTTAAACACGTTTAAAAAAATTGCAGCTCCACACTCTCCACAATAAAAACAAATGAGATGCAGATAATTAGAAGACAACTTATACTTGTTTTGGAGAAGAATCATGCTCATTCAGGAGCATCCCTACATGGCTACATCATTGTTTAATTCATCCCAGTGTTGCAGAGAAACTAAAAAGGCCTTGGAAAACTTTCTTTGGGCAAGGGATTAGGAGGTAAGCAATGATCAATCAACTAGATGTGAGTGTGTAAAGAGAGCTTGTATGCCCTACCGAATAACTTGGATCATTCAAGGTTGGTTTATATGCTTTAAGAGTCTTCCCACTCATGGCCAGTTGATTTTAATCTAGGAAGCATGGATACGGATAAGAGATACGGGTATAATACGATACGGATACGGCAAAACCCCAAAAAATATGATATGGGTACAGCCAGGATACAACTATAAATATATATATTTTATATTTAAACTATTACGAGATGACTTAATAGAGATAATTTTTAGTGATTCTTTAATAACAATAAACAATATTAACAAGTTTTTATTTTAAAATAATTACCTATCGTCTCACTATAGTACATCTACAAAGTGAACATAATTAATTAAATGAATAAGAACTAAGATTTAACTAGATTGTTTGCTTAGGAGTATTTGTTGCTAAGATTATAGAGTAATCAGTTCATTTATACTCTTTGGACATGTGATAAAGTATAATACTTGGAACATACTCGTGTCTTCAAAGTCAAGAATTTTTGTTGATGTATTATATTGTATGTGAAATCAAAAAGAAGAGGTAAAGATTAAAACTAAAAAATATACATACTTATTTGCATATAGAAGTATCTGTGAACTATTCATATATATATTTATTATTGGATGCATTTAGTGTATATTTGATACATAACCTTGAGTATCTAATGAGTATTGTATCTTATACGAATATATCGATCATAATGAAGTATCTATGCTTCATAATTTTTGATACTCTAACATGGTATTAGAGTTGGCTCTTGGATGGTCAGCGGACCAAACGTCTAACCCATTTAAATTTTTTGATGTACATGTTTGTTTGCTTGTTTGTTTGTTATGTTTGAGCCTATGTCCCACATAAGAAAGGGTGTAAAGAAAGCTTGTATCCCACATCGAATCATTAGGAACACCCAAGGTTAGTTATATAATTAAGGGGCCTCTCCACTCATTGCCAAATAGTTTTGAATTATATGTCCTAATAGCAAGACCATGTATTGTTACAAGATAAAAGGCAAGAATGGCTCAAGATATGTCCTCCATTGTTTCTTGATAAGAAGTTGTTTCACCACAAAGGGTATAGGATGGACTTAAACTATGTTGTTTGTCTATTTACATCCCTTGTGACATATAGTCACTACGTTGTATCCTTCTTGTTGCTTTTTGAGTCCAAGATGTCAATGATTGCAAAATTTTGCAATATAGTTGGTGAGAGAGAGAGAACTTAGCGGTGACATTGGGGCCACAAGCATGTATAAAGGTAGTTTCACAATAAATTAGACTACTTCAAATACTAACAATTCAAAGTACTATGTCATTAACAACACAATAGTTAATAACTTAAACAGTCTCGGAAAGAGATGCATGTTGGAACTGAGTCAAAACATTTATTGACTTTCTCATAATGCCTCAAAAGATTGGCGTTTCCAAAAAAACTCAACTATTAAACCTTGTATTATGGAAATACTTAACGAAAGTTTTGTTATAGTGCAATGTATCATTGTGTCAATATTTCTAATTTTTTATTTTAACACCAAAGAGCTTAAGGAAAGCAAATTTTACTCTAGAATGGGCAATGCAATAAGAAAAACTAATTCGAAGATGTGACAGGCATAGCCAACCCAGCTCCAGAAGTACTGTTCAAATACCATATACATTTACTGAATTAGACAAGAATAAGCAAGCAATTACTCCACATTGGCCAAATAGTAAAAACGATTAAAATCCAGAAGTATATACACTCACTATTCTCAATAAAAGATATTCATAAGCAAACAAAACAGCTTATACGATTGTTCCAGAGTCGAAGAAAAAAGGCGGTCTTCTGATACTAAAACTAGCATACCAAGAATTTCCAATAAGCTGATAAAACAAGTAGGGTCATCACAGAATTTGGTACCAGTTTTCTATGAGGATGGACTTTGTACAGTCCTAAACTTTGGTTACATTTATGGTGAATTTTTCACAATGGAAGGAACAACTCACCAGGAGCAACGGGACTGGATATTACACTCCTCGAAGTCCCTTTCAATCCATCTTTTCGCACAGGTGTGTAAACAACTTCCACAGCACCTCCCACATCCTCTAAAGTTAAATCTAAAAACCCTGCCAAAGTAATAAGTTCACTATTTAGCAGGTCCCTAGACATACTGGGAATAAAAAGCATCTGAGAATTGAAAAGGCAAAACATACCACCAGCATTCAGTTTCTCCCTAACACCACTATCCTTCACCCTAAACCATTCATACAAACAGTCCCCCTTTTCACTGAGCAAAAAATAAAAGGATTCAAATTCAGAAATTAGAATAAAACATGGGTAGAAGCTAAGGTTATGTCAAGCCAATGGTTCACCAATTCTCACCCTCCACTGTAAGATGCAACAAAGCTCAAACGCTCTCCTTCAATAAATGATCCAAGAAATTCAAGCGACTGGCAAGTCGGTGGCCCTGCAATAAAAAATTCTATTCAAAAGCAGCAATTATTGTGATACCGATTCTCCAGGGAACAAAATTGGATATCCATAATCAGTGTAAGTGGCTAATAGACCTTCATTATATAAGAATAGGAAAGAATGCAACTCATGTATGAAAAAAAAATTATTCAAAAGATGCTGAAAAATCTATGAATATTACCAGCTACAATTGGTCCAATTTGTTCAGAAAGGACAATGGGACCGCGGGCCCAATCAATTCTGACAGGCTCACATGAAACCGATATAAAAAGCCCAATATCATCAACAGAGAGCATGTATGATGAATTAATGGCACCATTAACTTCAATTTGGATGCCATCTGAACTAATCTGCATGCAACACTTCCATTATTGAGCTATGGTAGCAGTAAATTATGAATTATAATGTAAGACTAGGTAATGTAAATAATCATTGAAAAGTCAAGCTTTGCAACAACAGGCAAGGAGGAAATCACTATTAGTATAGAGATCAACATACTCGGAACCAGCGGAAAACTGAGTCTCCCTCATCACCACCCCAATATTTTTTTTCAACACTTAGCTTAGTGCCTTCGATAGCAGTTCCAACTATGTGTAGAGAAAGCAACCTCGGGCTTCCTAATGATCAAGGAGCATTAAACAATAATAAGTTATGTCAGCACTTAATTTAAATACCTCCACATCCAGAATCAGACGCTAGCTCAACTCCCAAATGTAAGCAAGGATGCAAGCAGCACAAATAAACTGTTTCTTAGAACAGAACACATTATAATGATTTTAAAACCACAGGCACCAGATACTCGCGCCGCCGGAAAAAATATTAGTACACAGCACATGCAAAACGCCATCAAGAAAAATAAAAAAATAGGCATCTCATGTAAAACGAACATAAGCAAGAGTAACCGGCCCCTACCGAAACCAAAAAATACTGACAGTCTAAGAGCTGCATCCATGCCAGAGAGCATCCAGATTCCAAAATTTCTTCGATACTCTTGGTTCCATCCAAGATTGATAAGTGCATTATGATAAGATTGAACACTTCAAAAGGCACAGTCTAGTCTCTTTCTTGTTTGTAAGGTTTTATATTCTCTCGTGCTATTTGTCATTACTGTGCACTATTTCTCTCTTTCCCGCTTTTCTTAGCATACTATGGTCCCCCTGACATTGCTTGCACATACCCATAGCTTCAAATATAAAATCCAAAATGTTGGACAGTTGGCAAACACCTCGTTGGCTCTTTACATCAGACGAAACAAGCCTTGTGATATTAGCATAACATTCTTTTAACAAAAAAAGAAATTTCAATCCAAAAAAAAATACTCATTGATAATGATGTTGCACCCACATAATTTCAAATCTAAAAGGAGTTGGGCCCCATTGCACTCAATTCCAGAGTAATCAGACACTTGTCAAACACGACTCAAACTAAAGTTTCTTGTCTAACATTTGAAAAACAGCCCTCTCATTCTAATGAAATAAAAAACAATCTAGCCTTTTGCAAAACCAATTATTTCCAAAATTTGTTAGTGTAAAGCTCCCATTACTCAAAGGTGACTTCTGCAGATTAGTTTCCCTAATTAACTCATTGAACCCCTTCATACTTCTAGTCAGCCTTCCCCTTGCATTTTCTCAGTCACATATCTAACTACAATAATATCTTCCACTAAACGCCACCTCATGTTAAACAACCATACAAAACCAGCCAGCTCTTCCCCAGAAACTCCTCCTTAACCAAGATTTATTAGGCCCATAGATTCAGGCAACAACCAATATACTCCACCATCAATTCTCAAATATACAAAAACTTAAAAATCACCAATTAAAAACATTATCCTAACATCCAATATAACCCCTATATCCCTGATTTGATTTACTACATGAAGGCAATAAATCCCAATCCTTAAACCAAACTCTCAACCCCCAGAAACTACAAACAACCCATCTAATCACTATCACCTAAGAAGCACGGATACGGACATGGGTGTCGTATCCGATACGATACGGACACAGCGATACGGAAAAATTCCAAAATGTAGATACGGGTACGGCGAGAATACGGCTAATTAAAATAATTATATATATTTTTATATATATAACAACATAATAATAACAAACAAGACATAGCAAACATTACTTAAATTGAAATAGATCAAAATTCAAAAAATATATATAATTTTCAAAACCAACAGGCAGCAGCACAGATGACCAAAAAAAAAGCTAGCTAGGAAAGCACAACAAAAAAAGAGAAGACAAAAGCACAACAAAAAAGAGAAGACCAGCGGCCAGCAAGCAACACAGCACCAAAAGGCAACAAGTTAGGAAAGCAATTTTCAATATTTAAAACCAGTTGGCAGCAGCACACTAGCACAGAAAAGCAACAACACAAATGACCAAGACCAAAAAAAAATTCCGAAGGCAGCAAGTAACACAACACCGGACCAAAAAAAAATCCCCAATTTTTGAAAACCCTAAAAATTCCCAATCAAATTAACCTAATCAAATTTTTTGAAAGTTCACACTCCACACAGACCAGAAGATGAAGAGGTAAGAGCAGTAGTAGATCTGAAAAAAAAAAAATAGAAGCAAGTCGCAGATCGCAGTCACAGAGCGCGATCGCTGTCGCAAGTGAGTTGCCCTTCCTCTTCCCTCTCCTTCTTCTTCTCCTCCTCTGGTCCTCTCGAGCTCCTCCTCTTCTCTTCTCTTTTCTCCTCTCTCTCTCTCGAACACACCAAATGTCGATTGGAATCGGTTCACAAATCAACGACGCTTTAGTTTTTTCCTTTTCAAGCCAAAACGACGTAGCTTTGGCCGTTTTTTTTTGTTTCGACCCCCCTAAGTTTTTAAAATAACAAACGTACCCTGCCATATCCCCCACATATCCGACCAAAAAAAAATGACAGCCACTGTTCAGGACACTTCTACAAGTGTCGGACACGTATCCGACCGTTGGACACGTGTTCGACATTGCCACGACGACCCCCCGACGAGTATCCGTGCTTCCTAGACTATCACTTTCTTAGTCTCTTGTAACACCACAACTAGAGGTGTCAAACGTGTCGGATTAAACAGTTACGTGTCGAGTTAAACGGGTAGAAAATATATAAACCCATACACGACACGTTTAATAAACGGGTAAAAAATCTCAACACAAACACGACCCGTTTAATAAACGGGTAACACGACATCGACTCGTTTAACCCGTTTAATTTTAAAAAAATTATATTAACAAATTTTAATACTCCACTTTTTTTTTATTACCAATTGCACTTATCTCAAAAAAGAGAAATTTTTAGTCAAATCACATAAAAATAAGACTTGAAGGCTTAAAAAAAACACAAGAGGTCATTGCTTTTTATAGGCAACTCAAACCTCCTCATCTCCCCTCATTTTTCAATGTGGTATAAAAACAAAAGGCATTGGTTTGCCTTTGCCTTTGAAGTGCTCCTCCTCTCTTCTCTTTTGTCTTTGAACTACTACTTTACTTTTTTTTTTATTAATTTCTTTATTTCTTTTTTTCTTACTAATTTTTTAAAATAATTATTAATTTATTATTATATTAATTTTATTTAAACGGGTAAACGTGTGATAAACGGTTTCACAGGTCTCACCCAGACACGACCCGTTTATTAAACATGTTTGGCGTGTCAACCCGTTTATCACTCAAACCCGTTAAGATCTCACTCAAACCCGCTTAATTCGTGTCAGTTAATTATGTCGTGTTGAATTTTGACCGCCCAAACCACAACATTAGCGTTAAGCTTTTAACGACCACCCTCCCGAATAGCCTTTACTATTTTCCTATTGCCCAACCAAACACTATGAATCTTCATTAAGAAAAAATTTTACCCCTAAAATTACTACATTCACTATTACCTTTATAGTTAACACCAAATTTCAAAATTTTAACCTCTCTCATCCCCTCTTTTATTCCTAATACCCTTTCCTTTATTATATTTGTACCTTCCCCTCTAAAAGGTACAAGAGTCATTTCAATTGTAGTCAAGAAATCCCTCAACAATTCCCTAACTTCCCCCTTTTTTCAAAACTCAAATCCACTATCTCATTTCTACCCTTCAAACACTTTCCATTCAAAGAAGCCCCAAAGCATTACAAACATGCAACTGATTTTCCTCATGGAGAATACCAGTAGCTCCAATAAGAGTATTCATTTCCTTACCAATCCTATTGCTAGGATTCCCTAATTGTGATGACTTAGATCTAATACGTTTATCCTTAGACACTTCTCTCTGCGTATAATCTAATAGAAGCAAGCGATTATTAGAAGCATAAGGTAAAACAGGACAAAGACACAATAAACCCCTACTCTCCTCAACCCTCACCATCCGAAACTACTACTGAAATGCACCAAAGAAGAGCTAGAGCACTTAGCGGATGCCAGTTTCTCTTCATTAGGAAAAGCTATGTGCTCATCAAATAGGTCTCCAACATCGAGTAGTGTTTCTACCACCCTAGACCCCTCGGAACTGTTGAACTCTTTGCTGTTATACTACCATTTTCACCGTCCACATATTCATTATCATTGTCCAAACCAAAGTAGGTTTCTTTAAATTTTAAGAATCCGTCATCAACATTATCTCAACATAATATACGTTGCAGAATACCAAACCTACTTTCCATCAATTCCTTTTTCGCATCTCTAAACTCCACATCCACTTCCATAGATTTCCTCAATCCCTCAAACCTTCAATCAACAAAATACTCTTGTCTATCCCAATCAAGACCCACCCCTTTCAATTCCCCTTCATTCACAAGTTCCCAACCCATGACTTCATTAATCGCATCATCGCTCATCTTCTTTAGAGTTGCAGAAGACAAGTATGTTATCCCAAATAGTGAATGAGAACTTATTAGGGCTTTCAATGTCAGGCTAACATAACCTGTTACCCGAACAAAGCAGAGAGCAGTGGGTTTGGTCCATCACAGCCAATCACTTAAATCTGCAGACTTTCTTTGGATTAAATTTGTTGAATGCCAACAACCAGCGCATCCTAGGCCTATCATGTACCTTTTCACTTTGTTATTTAGTATATATTATTAAAAAAAACTCCAACACATTACCTGGACGTACACGCTCCTGCCCATTGCAAGTTCTGGACTCACCCACTATTCCATCATCACGTACAGGGGTACATGTAAAAGATATGAATTTATCAATAGCATCTTTTGTAACACGATACTGAAGAAGACCTGAAACCTCAGGTATTAAAGTACCCGAGTCAGTTTCAGCCTGCAGAAACCACAGAACATATAAGTCAATATTCGAATTCAAAGTTCAAAAAAAAAAAAAAAAAAAAAAAAGCAGGGTCACACAAATATTTTTTGCTACTCAAAGTTGATTATAAAACTAAGAGAGGACTAATCGTGTAGCATCCATTTATGGAAAAATTACAGCAATTACATATCACTTATTAGGTTTCTAGGGAAAAGTTATTATATAAAGAAAGCAGTAAGATAAGTATGCTTAGCAAGATCTGCCAAAGTGAACTGTGAAGATACTAACTTGAGCCTGCGCACGCTGCAAATGGTTTGTGCCAAAATGAATTAAAAAACATTACCACCTTACTAAGAGTTTCAGTTGGTATGTGAAATTCTTTGTCTTCAAAAAAGAAGAGAACAAAATACAAGTTTTAAACCCAGCTTGTGAGTAATTTCACTCGTGTATATTCGGAGGCTGTCATCTAGTAAGTTTTTAGTTACAATCCATGAATATGAACGTTCAGACAGTACAGTCAGAGCAAATATGCACCCAAAACCAAAATCGCCCATGGTGCATAATGAATTTAAAGTTGACTAAGCATCCATGCAACACCAAGTTTGATTCATACTCTTGTTCATTGTCCTTTTACACGTCATAGGGGCTGCACTAAAAAATCAAAAGTATATACCTCATGAAGATACCAACTGTAAATACTTTTTCCTTCATGACCCCCTATGTACCCATATGATGCTGTCAGAATTCCACCTTCAGAGTAATCTCCAGTTAAAGATAAGAAATTTAGGCTTGGGGGAAGAGCTGCAAAGATTTAAAATGCATGTTAGCAACATATTCATTACATCAACTGCTCAAGAATAACAACGGAACCATGCATTGAATGGGAGACCAAAAACTAAATTACTTCAGAAACTTACAGATATTGTTTGAACTGTTTTGAATATAAGTTTTTTTTCAAACAGATACCAAGATCTAACAACCACAGGCAATTTGCAAGGAAAAAAAGTTAAAACAAAAGTGAACAAACAAGAAAGATGTGTTACCTATCAACAATGGGTGAGTTTAATCACACCCAAAAACACTCTACACCAATTGTAAGGCAAATCAAGAACAATCTACTGGCCTTGGGTAAATAATGGGTTCCAGTTCTTTTTTCTCTTTTGTACTTGGGTTCCAGTGCATTTGCACCAAAAAAAAAAAGCATCTTACAAAGGAATATGGAACCAACAAGCTTGATCTCTAATGTCAGGTAATGTCTGATCATGTTCTCAGAACACTTCAAGAATATGAAACACCAAAAATAACGTTTCTACTCTGATAATAGTTCGCAAGCTCAATGTATGTATACTTTCAATTTCTAACCCCAATAATAACATTGTACTTTGGAACAATTGTTATTTTTATGCAGCCTTGTTCAAAGTGATTTCTCTTCAATTTCTTATTATTTCTGGATTTGCTTTCAAGCCATAAATCTTGACATTTGAAGCTTGGTGTCTGAATTGAAAAGAGAATAACACCCCATATGATAACCCAATTCTTAATATTAAAATATTGAGGTTTGAATGAGCATCATTTTATTTGCCTCATTCAATAATTGATAAAATTAAAGGAAGAGGGGTTGTCCGAATGGCAACATGAAATCAAATGCTTATGATCCCTCCTATTCTAGAATGCATTTTCATACTTGACTCATTCATTAACTAATTAGAGTACAGGATGATGAGTCATTCAGTCATTTGAATGGCAAGATTAGATCAAAGAAACAGTATCCTTAAATGCAAACATTGAGAATTTGAAGTTGTGGCTCCCCCCTTTGTAGCATTTACAAATTAATCATGGAAACCTCATTTACATGATTAAAAAGATTTGGAATGCTGTAGGATACAAAATTCGTTGAGGAGGTGTTCCTTGCAACATACTTTGCAAACTTACACAGCATGCATAATTTATTTTGTAGGATGGATTCTCATACTTGACTCATTCTTCAATTCAATTGCAAAGAAGGAAGATGGGTCATTGGAATAGCAAGATGAAATCAAATGTACAGAATCCCTCTCATCATAAAATCAAAAAACTGAGAATATGAATTATTTGACAACATCTTCCGGTTAGAACTTCTGGAAAACTGCCCACAACTTTTAAACAAGAAATTCAACTCAGTGTGCACCATTGATTCTTAACAAGGCTTCATCTAGTGTATGACCCAGGGGTGGGTCAAGTCACACACTCCTTGCTTAACCATAATCTACTCAGGAGATGAACCTAAGAGAAATTCACTGCTTCATCTCGCTTTTGAGGAGATCAGCTCCAGAAACTAAACAGACAATTGGTCATGATTATTTGTGGCATAGCCCCCTTGAGTCACACACCTGAAGGTATGGCTCAACAAATGCCTCCAAGCTTAGCAATGAATTAGGCACAGCGTGTCACGAGAAGCCACTTCGAAAAACAACAAAAGAGTTGTCGGCCTTAAACTTGGGAAGAAGAGTTATATGTGTAGAATGATATTATTTTGGTCCTTTAGTCATTTCATTTTAATTCAGATTTGTTAGACAACGTTTTCCCCAATATGCATATAACAGCAGGGAAATCAGTACTACAGAGTGAAAATGTTTCAAGTTCCACGTTGCCACAACACTGTAGAGAGCATGTTTATAGTGGCACTCTGGCTACTTTCACTTTACCAAGTTTGAAAATGGTTGACACAATTCAATTCAAGAGCTTCGACCCTTTAAGTAAATTTCCTAAGAGACACTGATTCCCATGAATAGAGTTGTGGTCATCACGTTTAAGTCAGATAGGTTAGCCTTAAACCTAATACTACTATCCCCAAAATACAGGATGAAGTTTGGAGAGTGCAAAACTGATATTGAAAAGACACCTTCATGAGGCCATCTTGGCCATGAAGAATACATGACATCATGTTGTTTGAGAACTACAGTTAATTTAAAAGCAGAATCCACACTTAACTAACTATATATTAGCTTGGCACATACCCCTTTCTGCCACTTCCTAATTGCCCACTCCCTCTCCCCCCCCCCCCCCAAAAAAAATAAAAAAAAAAAAAAATAAAAACTTTGAAATTTCTGGCTCTGCCACTGGACCCATTCATGTTTCAAAATAGTTCATTACAAAGCTATACTTAGTCTTCTTAATGGTCCTCAAGCTGTTTACCCTTGACTATACTGAATATTGATTAAAACCAAAAAAAGAGCCTTCACATGAAGTTTGGCACAATACAGTCAAAGCATTGATTCAATAAAGATTTGAAGAACTGGAATTCACACTGAAAAGACTTACTTTACTGCAAAGACAACACTTAATTATGAAACTGAGAGACTAATAGATATTTGTTTATGGACACCACAACGAGTTTATAAGAATCAAGAGATTTCTGATGATTATAATATACTACACAAGAGCATAGTTATCAAATCGTGTATCGGAAGGCGTATCGTAAGATACAAATATTGTATCGTATCATGTATCGTATCGTGTATCGTAAGATACGATGCAATTTTAAATAAATAATAAAAAAATATATATACCTTTGAAAAAAAGTCATACTCATAAAAAATATAGCATTTCATTAATACTCCACCAACTATTCAAGTTATCAACATAATCCACTACTATTATAATGCAAAGTTCACAACCATAGTTCACTAATTCAAACTTTAAACACCAAAGAGACTTCTAATCCAAATTTCTAACATCCATTTTGAACTCAATCTTCAATTTCAATTGAAAATGCATCATCATCATCATCATTGTGATCGGATGCCAACAAGTCTTCACTTGTCGTTTTTTTTTAAAAAAATCAGAGCACAAAACGACGTCGTTTTAAAAAAAAAAAAAAAAAAATTGCACGTATCGTGCGTTTCGTACCGATACGTATCGTATCGTAAAAACGTATCGTGTATCGGACGATACAACGCAAAAACGATACATAACTACGATCCGTATCGTTTTAGGGCTATATCGTAACGTATCGTACGATACGTATCGCGTATCGTACGATACTAACAACTTTGCACAAGAGTATTTGATAAACTATGGGATATTCCACACGGTAAGTAACTGAAGGGATGATATCATGTAGAAAAAAAAATCTAGATGGAGTATATTTTGATTTGAAAATTTTCGAATACGACCCATTTTACAGCCCAGTTCAGACTTAGTCGAATTTGTACACACTCAAGACAGATAAATACCGAACAAGACAAATATGAAGTCCATGAGAGTGGAATTAAATTAAGACGCTGATAACTTGAGTACCTTTTGTGGAGTCTTTGTACTATTCTTTAGTTTGGACAAAACTAATTTGTTTCTTTGAACATATTTGATAACAAAAACCCTTTTAAAGCAAGTCAACATCAATGCTTAGGAAACAAAAACTCTCTCAAAAGGTCCACAGCTGCTCAGCATTTTTTTTTATAGGAAACAAACTTTTAGCAATAAATAAAGGAAAGTATTGCAATATATGAATGAAGATGTCCATCCAAGTAATCGCTCAAAGCAGGGGGGAAAAAACAGAAAACCACAAGCTACATTCCATACGAAGCTCTCCAACTTGATATGATACCAAAAAAAAAAAGGGACATCCTCAAATTATTTTGGCACCGAAGCCGAAAATGAAGCTAAGAAATAGATCCGCTCCCACCTCACTTCCAAAACGTCTTCTCTATCTTCAAATAATCACGAATTTCTTTCCAACCAAGAAACCCAAACGATTGCAAGGAAAGCACATCGCCAAAAGAATACCAACACCCATTCCAACTCTGCCCACTCCTGTGACTTAGCCTTCAAAGGTTCAATTGTCTAAGCTATTACTGATGGTGTGTGATGCAACTAATGTGTACCTTAGGTACTGTTTGGGAATCTCCACAATTGGTTCAACGCAAATCTGGTCTCATTTTGATGTCTAGTTCATTAGAAATAATTTCGAGTTGGTCTGGAAAGGGAAAACAAATTGTTCAATGGTCTAGAAGCAAATTTATTCAAACCCAACCAGGCATGTCTTTACCCTGCCTGGTTATCCTTGAACACTGGAGCCCATTAATTTAAGGGGTGTCCAAGCATGCCACAAGCAGACAGTAGACAATTAGCGAGATAATATACAGAAAATTACATCTAATTACAGCAGTGGAAAGAGAAAGCCAGTCAAATAGCAAAGTTTAGCCATCTAGGATTCAATTTTACATTGCCATGTTTTGAAATTGCAAGAAAAAAATCTTCTATTATGGTAATGTGTGGATGGGGGGTTAAAATCTTTATCTATTTGCACTTACGTTCTTACAAAGAGAATAGGTCAGACAACCAATTTCAGTGATCCTCATGATTCAACTAATTAATTTCATTTCTGTGAGGCACTCTAGACAGGTCGAATTGAAAGAGTGGATACTCATTACTCAGTTAAATGTTTCCATGAATTTGAAAGAATTATATCAACTCCCTTAGCACTTATATATAAAATATGATCAAAGTCCAAGATTTTTCTGCTTAGGAGTTATTGAGACAAGTGCAATGTCAATAAAACAAAAGCAAATACAACACCCATTTTATTCACATGAAAAAGGATAATAATAAGCCCTTTTTTGAAGATCACAAAATTTTTTTATAAGCACTTGAACATTTATGTAACTTTTGTCTTCCATCTAATCTATAATGTATAGTACTGAAAATTTAGTAAATGTACTTACTTTCAACTGCATTTTCAGATATAGCATAAACTGGTTCACCAGATTCACCATCTGGAGTCATTGGCGTGAATTTTGCAACAATATGACAGCCAACAGCTCCTAAAGGTATGCGAAAAGCCTGAGAAAGCCAAAAGTTCAACTGAGATCACGCATCACATAAGCTAGATCATAAATGACCAACTCTAACAACTCCTACCTTTGCGATTTTGGATGTGCTTAGTGCTTCAAGACCATTCTCACCATCCAACATTGGAGAATTTGTTTTAAACCACTGAACTCTGCTAGATCCTTCTGTTCCTCCAGTGACGATACCAGTTACAGTAACCTTACTGCCCTCCCTTACTTCACCAATTATCTTCACATTTGTCACTTTTGGAGGAGCTGGAATTTAGATCAGGTCAAAAGCATAAGAATTTGCAGAATCAAATGATGACTGCAAAATGATAGATCTGCTACACCACCAACTATGGACAAAAGCATGTAAATGGTTAGACATCAGAAAGAATTTGTGATAGTCAAAAGGGAAAAAGCAAAAGAAACACTAGGAAAAGGAAATGAAGCAATTGAGTGAGGTTTTTTGTTTATGTCAATATTTAATTACAATAAAAATTTTGGATCATGTATGTTCAGCATCACGTTCCCCATGATGATAAGAATGAACATCAGTTGCACTTTGAAATTTCCTCCATTAAGTTTTTCAAGTTTCCACTTTTCATTTTCAGTAAATTGAAAGAGTAAAAGGCCTACATTCTAAGGTCCAGTGATGCGTTGTTCTGCATTTTAATATTAGTTGTTTCCTGTCTTTCTTGTGCCAGTAATCTTTATAAACCTCAGGTTGTTCCCTGATATGAAAGTGCGACGTCTGAGAAGATAAGAAATCATGTATACAAGATCATCAACTCCCTTAATATAATAATATCAATCAGAAGTTAGAAAATATGTGATGATAGACAAAATAATTCAAACAGTCTAGTGGCTGTTTGGAGAGAGAACTAGCATAGCTGAAGTATAAATACTTAAGTTACACAATTTCTAACAAGCTTAAACGTTTAGTGTAGATGGTTGAACATGGTATCAAAGCAAGAAATCGTGTATTCAAATCTTGCAGCCTCTATGGTGGTCAAAAGATTTTCCACATGCTAGGCACAAAAATCTAGCCTACACGTTCGGAGATATGTTGAAATACAAAGAACTAAGTTTTACCCACTCAAGCAAGTTAAACTTTTAGTGCAGATTATGGTTTAACCGGTCTTAAAATAAAATAAGATTCATTCCATTCAAGATCATTCGGGTCCCTTAAGCTTCTCTTTGGTCCTGCACCATGTAATTTGGGAAAGATCAAGATCAGTTCTAGGGTTTTACACTGAGCCGAGGAAACCTTAACCAATAGCACACATACTCATAAAGTGCATGTGAAAAATCTCTGTAAAGATAGATTGAAACAGCACTACTCTCATCAACTACCAATTTCAATACTTTTTAAAATGGATTTATGGATTGAATTACCCAATTCTCCATTACTTTTACATGCCTAAATTTTTGCTTCTTTAATAAAACACAGCCCATGACCCATATTACATAAGCCATTATTAATACTCCATTGCTATAGAACATCCACATTGTCCATAATTTGTGGTGGAAACTGATTTTGTCAATCATTAATAGCCAACAAAATACATCCTCAAAAAAAACTTTGACCTTAAGCAGTCAGTCATGTGTCTGTAATACCTACACAAAGCAATATTTAGTTTTAAGCCTTTTCACTGATTGATAAGAGAGGCACTACAAAAAGAATCTTAAGAACAAGAAGATAGAAATAAAAAACAATAATTTCATTTTCTCACCCCAAAAAGACGTAACAAAATAGATATACATATAGTTAATGAGTCGCATTACATATTTGCATCTTTGTTGAATATCTCCTTATACTAAACTAAAGAGGGAAGTCATAAGTGATCAATTGTTTTCTAGTTAATGATTGATTATCCTGAACCAAAAATCAGTGTCAAACATTCTCAATATCGATATACCCTAGGAAATACAATTACTGGAATACATTAGGGAATACAGTTTGCGACTGATACTTTGAGCCATATTGCTCACCCTAATGCAAATGGCGATGCTCACAAAGTTTGCGGCTGGACTGGCCCTCTCATCCTCAAAATCCAACACTAAACCATATTTTAGGGCCCTCTAGGATTGTAAAAATTAAATAAACTAGGCCTGAACCATATCAAATCAAGCCGCACACAAAGCTCTCTAAGTGTAATCCATCTTTTGAAATTGTACACCACAATTTATTTACTCTTCCTTCATAACCTCTTACTCACATACATTATTGATTACAAGGATGAATATATCCCACAAAAGCCAAACAAAGACTACAGAAATATTTCTCATGACTATATAACTCACAAACCTCAGAGAGGATGGGCAAGGCAATGTAGATTAGATAATTTAGATTAAGGGAAAATACTTAGCCAACAAGGAGAAAACAAATGAGGAAATAACACATCATTGATATATGTACACCAACAAATGGTCATTGTCAATTATCTTCATATAAACACAAAAAGCCTATAATTAACTCAACTTAACAAAGCCTTAACCCAACATTTTTAGGGTCAATTTCATGAATCAAGTTTCCATTGTACTCCGTCAATAGCTATTATATCCCTCTTGTTTTACTAGTGTCATAGTACAAACTAGGAAGTCTATAAATCTGTCCAAACCACCTAAGTCAATTATCCCTTATTTTATCTCCTATATGTGCTGCCTCTACTTTTTCATCGATATAATCATTTCTAATTTTATCATTCCTAGTTTTATCACACATCCATCGTAACATTCTCATTTCCATTACACTCATTTTTTAAACGTGTTATTTCCTAGTTGTCCAACGCTCAGCACCATAAACCTAGCGGGACTTATGGTTGTTCTATAGAACTTCCCTTCTTGATTAACAGATATATGTCTATCACACAATATACTAGATGCATTCATCCATTCAGTCAATCCTACATTCATTCTCCTAGTAAGATTGTCACCAATCTCAAACTCTATGAATAATACACCATAAATATTTAACATGATAGCATGAATTTCTCAAAACAAACATGATAACTTGTTCATATGAAATATAGGTACCTTGCTTGACAATCTGAGACACTACTAACATAGATTTTCCTTCTTGCCCTGAAAAAAAAAAAAACAAATTACATTAGTTAAAAAAAGATAAACAATCAATGAGCATGTTTTCAAGGAGAAAACAAAAAGATCTAAAAAAATCTACGAGTACACTACAGACAAACAAAATCTCTAGGTGTCTTACAAAGCAATGTGAAAAATGCTAATGCCCAAAACATACTAGAAATAAATGAGCTTACCTTCAAAATTCACAGGTACATATACAAAAGCCAAGCGCCGACCAACATCTTCTTTTGTTAAAGTATGCTCAGTTGCACCAGTCGACACCAATACAAATTCTCTGCGAAAAGAAAATGAAAAGTTAAAAAAACAAATTAGAATGGAAGCAAGCCACCAACATAAATGGGAAAAAAAAAACACTCTTATTGCAAGAAATGTAGTCAAATCAGCGTCCCCCCCCCCCCAAAAAAAAAAAAAAAAAGAGAGGACTGTTAGTTGTTTAATAAGTTGGGAAATATAATACGGAATGCAAACTAACATATCATCCTTTTGGAACTCTCTGTCATAATTGGTTTTTGGGTTGGAACTTGGAGCTTTAAGTTGAAGGCCCATGAAAATATTATGATTTTCACAACCTAATGAGGGAATCAAGCAGCATGTGGTCGAACCAAATAGCCGACAAATTAGCCATTTTTCTACTTATGTTGAAAAACACCAGCCCGATTCAGGCTTACTTGTCCAAGTAAAGCCCACACACTTGTGAGGCCAAGGCTAGCTCTAATAGTACTACACAAATACATGTAAAATTACAATGTAACAAAAATGCTAGTATAAACTAGAATGATTTGTAAACAAAAATGAACAAACACCAGAAGGGGGCATGAATTATTACTAATCATTGAATATGGGCAGAACTGACACTGATACATTATAGGAATCGCACCAAGCAAGCATCATGAAACAATGCCAAGCCAAATTGCCATGAATATCTACTGATCAATAAAATATCACCAGAAGTTACTGAAACCCAGATTTGGCCCAAAAAAAAGCAAACCAATTTGGGACTAGTTTAACTCAACACATCAAACACAAGCTTCCCAAGCATGGGATCGATAAACACTGCTAGGTCACAGTAAGTGGTTGCATGGATAAACAACTACGATCTATCTAAATGCTCGGAAAAATTAAAAAAAAAAATATGTGTTCTCTCCCCTGTTAAGTCTTTATGCTGTTACAATTAATAAAGAAAGACAAAAAAATTTAAATGAAGTCTTTGTTAAGACTTAAGAGACACAAGAGAGGCATCAAACTAATTCATTAGGACAGGATAATAAAAAACTATGGCATAATAATTATAAAAAAAAAAAAAAAAGAAGAAGAAGAAGAATACAAACCCCGAGTCCTTATTTTCACGCAACCACTTAAACTTGCTGGGACCTTCTCGTCCTCCAAAGTATTCCCCAGCTCCTCTGACGGTATTTCCTTCGATAGAGTCTCCAATAATTTGTACGTGGTTGACTGACGGAGGAGCTGCCAATAGTAAAGATAGTTATTTAATGCACTTACTTTTCAATGTTTTCATGTAGTAGATGATAGATATTACTCTTTATTATCTCTTAGTATAGTTAATCTTGTCAAGGGTCCAATAAGAAAATTTAGGTAGCTTAAAAAGAAAAGATGTGATAATAAGTAACATGTGAAGAGAATAGAGAACTATTCAAAGCAAATATGTCAATGCTATAAGCTGAAGTCCAATATGCATATGACAATAACAGCAAAGATAATAAAAGCAACACTTGTGACAACTTTATAATATCTAGACACACAAAAACAGGGGAAATGGTTATCAACAGTTGAGGTCAAACAAATAAACAGCTTGTCTTCCATCATAACACCGAAAAATACATGAAAATAGACATCCCTTTAGAGCATCCACTGAAGACCAATCGGCAATGAGAGGAGAGACCCTTAAATATTTTAACCAACATTGGATTGTCCTATTCTTAGGCTTCTTATTCAGGTGTCACCTAGTACTGTAAAAAATTACAGTTTCATGTAAAAATTGTCTCTGAACATTCTTCGTTCTCGTGAAGAGCACAAGATCCATTTATAGGTCTGCAGAGGAAAAAACATGAAAGGAGAGGGATCATACACAGATTGACCATCCTATCTAGACGTGGCAAGAATAGAAGATGGGCTTAACGTACAATGTAAACGTTGATTCAAGGTCTTGTTTAGCAAGATACAAATTTCAACATAAATGTTTGGTCGGAAGATTCAGCGTATCCAATTCACGAGCGCCTATGATCGAAAGAGTTGTGTGTTGGGCGAATCAAAAATGGGTATCAGTTGGCCTGAGGGTAACCTCAATAGCCATAAGCCAATTCTTTGTTTATGTTTGTCTTTAACTCGGAGAGGGAGGCAAGAAGAATTCTACACTAAATTCCATTGTAGCTTGATCAAAGGGCGGAGTGGGAGGGGATGTTCAAGGAAGATAGTTGAAGATTTGGAAAATATTTGAATACAAGTGATAGGTATTCCTGAACACCTTTGGTGTAATGAGTTGTATATTGTGAGTGGTGATTATTGGGGAGTTCATGGCTATTGACACAAATAGAGAATGTAGAACAGATTTGAGAAGTGCATGGATTTAAGAAGGGCTTGGGCACCTGCTGAAGTGGCCGACGTCATCGCCGGAAAGATGACATCGTCTCCCAAAAGATGACATCATCGTCAGAACTGATCAAAAGTGATATGGCTTGATGGGTTTTTTCTACCGAGTATTATGATTTTTTTGGAATTTTTGAAATCATCCAGTATTTTTTTCAATTTTTGAATGATTTTTAGATTTTTTGGGTAATATTTTGAGATCTACTCTTTGGCTGAGTTTGGAACTAAACTACCTGCTTTAATCCTTCAAGTGGGTGCCAATTGGACCTTAAAGAAACTCCGGGGGAGTTTATTGCGCAGCCCAGTGGTTTTTTGGATATTTTTTACCATCAGCCATGCTTCGAGGCTGCTGGTTTGTGTTCCAACAGTTCAGGTGGGTTTTCTCCTATTACTTTGAGGCTGTGGAAGAGTTTTGTGTGAGACCCGGTGCTGGGTTGTGGAATTTTTGGCCAGAAGAGGAGCTTGGTGATCCTCTGTGGACTTCAGCAACCTCCAGTGGCTGCACTGTTTTGTGCTCTGCAGTCACTGTTTGGACTTTTTTGGTGTTGGCAGTCACTGGTTGACCTCCTTTTGTCCTGGGTTAGTCCCGAAATTAGTGTTTCTTAGTCGGGCTTTGTGGAAGAGCCTCTCATTTCTGAGTAGGCATGTCGGGAGTTGGTACAAACTCTATTAGTATTGAGAAAAGTGAGTTGAGCCGTGTAGGGACTCTTGAATGTAACCCTTCCCTCCAGATCAATCTAGTACATTTAGATGGGAGTAACTATTTGGCCTGATCAAAATCATGTTTGTTAGCAAGTGGATTAAATGGATACTTGACAAGGGCAAATAAGAAGCCCAAATCAGAATTTGATCTTAGCCAAAGGATTTCTTGAGAACTCGTTGGTAATGACATGGTTACTTAACTCACATGCAGACTAACATCAATTGTGTTTTTCTATTTCTTGAGACAGCCCATGAGATTTGGTTAGCTGTAGCTCAAACTTATTCATAAATTTGGAATGATGCCCAAATTTATGAATTCGGAAGAATATTCATAAAACCAATCAGAGGAATATGACTATTGCAAAATATTATGTAGGATTGAGTAGTCTAGGACAGAACTGGACTATTATCAGAATTTTCAAGTAACCTGAGCTGAAGATAGATCTAAGTTTTAGAAATTGGTAGAGAAAAAACAAGCATATAATTTTCTTGCAGATCTCAATATGGAGAGTGATTATATCCGTATTCAAGTCTTAGGCAGAAATCATTTTCCTTCTTTGAAGCAAACATACGCCTATGTATAGCAAGGGGAGAGTAGGAAGAGTATTATGCCTCATAATCCTACCAATGATCGATCTGCTCTAACGGCTGTTCCACAAAGAGAGAATAAATATGTTCAGCCTCGGAGTGATGGAAAAAATGGGAGCTTTGAAAAAGATCTGTTAAAATGTGATTACTATAGAAAGACGAGGCACACCAAGGACCATTGTTAGAAGCTACACAATCATCCATCTAGGTGACGTTGTGTTAATAGAGCTTGTTTTGTGCGCTCACATACTCATTTGCCTAAGAGTGTTGATCAAATCCCCTCCATCAATGGCCGATCTCCATCTACTGGTGTTGATAGTGCAAGTTTTACTTAAGATGAGATGCAAGCTCTCAGATCTCCGATGGCCTGGCTTGATGCTTCTTTTGCATCTGCTTCCAATTCTACTACTTCTAACTTTGCCAGCACAGGTATACATGTCAATGCATGCCACTTGCTCTTCTAATTCTTGAATAATCGATTCCAAAGCCACTAACCACGAGGAGGAAATTAGAATGGAAACTATCCCATAAGATGGTTGCAAGAGAGTTAAAAAAATCTTCAGATTGACTAGTAAAGGAGACATAGACCACAGGAAAAGGTGCTAAATTTTCAGGAAGAAGTTTATTAGTTAGAATATGAGGGGGTATAGGGAACTAGAAGAAGAGGAAGATGACTAAGGAGATGATTGTAAAGGCTTATCTGGATCTAGCTGTGCTATAGGAGACCAAATTAGACACAATAGACGATACTTTGATTAGGACTGTTCGGAAGTCTGGATTTAAAAATTGGATTTTTATTCCATCTTGCAGGGCCTATAGGGTATTGTTATGATTTTGGGTAGTAGATTCACAACTAGAGTTGATGACGTCCTTGGTTCTTTTTCTATGCCTATCCTACTTGAGTTTACGGGTCGAGGGGAGTGGTGGGTTTCTTATGTTTATGACCCAAACTGCCCTGAACTTGGTCCTTCTTTTTGGGATGAGTTATATGATTTGTTCGGATTGTGTAAAACCCTCCATAGTGCATTTGTTTAGGGTAGGGGGGAATGGATTTTAATGTAATAGAAACTCAAGTGTGAAGTTAGGAGATTTAGGATCACAACTAGTATGAAAAATTTTGATTTTTTTACACGTGAATGTGGGTTGCGGGATATTACATTGTCTAATGCACAATTCACATGATCTAGAAGTTCAAAAAATCCTACTGCAACACGGATAGATGATTTCTTTTTACTACTATGTGGAAAAATGTGTTGCCAAACGTGGTGCAAAGAGTTATGTCTAGTGTCTAACTATTTTCCTCTTACTCTTGAGTCCAATCCAATTAAGTGGGGACCTACACCATTTAGGTTTGAGACTATGTTGTTAACTAATTATTCTTTCACAAATAGGTGCAGAGAGTGATGGTTGCACTGTGAGGTACAAGGGTGGGAGGGATTCAAATTATGAAGATGTGGAATGTGGAATGAAAGGGTATTTGGAGATGTTAGAGGTAGAAAAACAGTGAATTTGAAGGAAATCGAGGCATTAGACAGTTTTTGAAATATTAACGGATGAGCAAATGAGGAGAGTTTCCCTAAAAAATGAGCTAGAGAAAGTGTTAGTGAGCTAGGAGAATAGCTAGAAGCAAAAGACTAGATTTAAAAGGGTTAAAGAAGGTGATTGTAACATAAAAGTTTTTCCATATGATGGAGAATAGTAAAAGAAGGACGAATATCATTAGGGAACAAGAAAATGAGTCATAGGAAAATGAGTCAGGAGAGTCTGTAACAGATCCTGGGTTAATTGCAAAGGAGATCACTAAATTCTATAAAAGCCTATAGGCTAAGGATATTCCTTTTAGGCTAATTATTGAAAGTCCTGATCCGAGTCTCATATTGTATAAAAGAGCCAAGGATCAAAATTTCATTTTGAAACTATCGAAACATTCGAAACATTTTCGTTTTCAAGGAAACCGAAACGAATTAGTGATAGCATCAAAAGTTTAATATTTCGAAGTATTCCATAATGTTTCTAAATATTTTGTAATATTTCAATGCATTTGCACAATTGTTTCAGAATGTTTTTAGATATTCCAAGATACTTTGATATATTGCGACCAATATTTTGAAAAAAAAAATCTTAAATTTTTTATTTTTTTCATTATATTTCCTAAACGGGTCGAAACGTTTCTATTTTTTTGGTGACCGAAACAAAATTTTGACACTTGGAAAGAGCTAGTTGGCATGAGAGACCTTCTAAGTATTGGTGCATGGGGAGTCTAGTGAGTGGTTCAATCTTACGAGGGGATTAAGACAAGGAAATCCTTTATCTCCTAAATTTAGAATGACGGTGGATCTTTTGAGTAGGATGATTAATAGAGCAGAGGAGGTAGGTTTCATAGGGGGCATGCGAATGGGTGGGAAGTATGTTAATGCTAGTGTGTCACATTTGCAGTTTGCTGATGACACTCAAGGTTCAAAGTATCGGCTGAGTCGGATACAACTCGGCCAAGTCGTATCCGCCTCGGCAGGCAATGATACGATAACAATACACAATACAAGACTATCACGAGTCTACCATGAATCGAT